TAACTAACGTCCTTATACGAGAAGACGCGAAAGTCGTTACAATGGACCATTCCCCAATTAACCAAAATTTTGATCTCAACAAGTCTAGACAAAATTCCATTATAGCATGAAAGAGCATCACAAAATTAGTAATATTCCAAAGTTTCGTTGCGAAATGTTGTAAAATGCGGATAATATAGCCTTTTCAGTCAATTTAGATTACATGTACAAACGAGAAATGGTTACCACTTTTCCAAAATTTTGATCTTAACTAGCCTAAACAAAAATGTCATCACAGCTTGAAAGAGCATCACAAAATTAGCAATATTCCAAAGTTTCGTGGCATAATGTTGTAAAATGCGGATAATATAGCCTTGCGAAGTTTGTGATTTTCAGTCATTTTAGATTACGCACAGAAGTGGTAACCGTTTCCCGTTTGTAATCTAAAATGACTGAAAATTGCAAACTTCGCAAGGCTATATTATCCGCATTTTACAACATTTCGCAACGAAGCTCCGGAATATTACTAATTTTGTGATGCTCTTTCAAGCTGTGATGAAATTTTTGTCTAGACTTGTTGAGTTCAACATTTTGGTTAATTGGGGAATGGTCCATTTACTGATGTCAATGTAAAGGTGACTCTTTCTCATCAATTATTTTAAGACCTTGAGTAGAGATCCGACCAAGAATTGAAGCCTGGTCTCCCCGCTTGAAAGGCAAGCGTGGTGGGCGCCACAACACTGTGCTGGTTTCAACTGCAATGTCGTCATTATTTCTATATTATGATACAACAATTTTTCGTTTCATAAATTTGATAACTGCTTGTGCAATTTTCTGCAGTCTATTAGTTTCATGTTGTCTGCACATGTACTTTCTTTGGAGACACCATTTGCCTCCTGATAAATCGGAAAATGATGGAAATAGATTGATTTATATATTGTATTCACATATCTTATTGATTTACATATTCTATTGACATATAATTGTTGACATTGCTTTTTAGTCTTCAATATCCGAGTGAGTCATGCTGTGGAAATGGCAATAAATTTTTATAACCCAATCCTTGAGTTGTTTTGTTTTTCATTTACCCAACCTTTTACTCACTCAAAATTTTGTTTACCCAACCCTTTTCTCTTCGGTGCCACCCCCCGCCCCGCCATACATAATGACCACTCCCTTATCAAAGAGAATGTGACGAAACCAAGGTCTAGATTTGTACATAAAAATGTGAATTACATTTCATTGATGCTTTTTAGCTCCAGACGCGGATACAAGTAATCCTTTCTCTGAGTTCATTAATCAAGAACTGAGCAAAAGCGACAGACCTGAACTGACGAGTGCCGGTGTGGTTATTTCTGGAGGTACGACATCTGAACATCCATTTTTACCATGAACAACACATTTGATTTTAATCTCTTTTGTCCTTTCAGGACGTGGAATGAAGAACGGTGAAAACTTTCAACTTCTTTATGATTTGGCTGATAAAATGGGAGCAGCAGGTATATAATATACATCTCTGTTTGCAGTGGGTGGGTTTTTGTATTTGGAATTTTCGAATGTAAATTTCTGTGCACTTTTTTAGACTTGACCAGGGGCGCTTTCCATTAACACGGCCAGACCGGTCAGAACGGTCAAATTATTGAATGGAACAGAAAACGTTTGGGCTTCGGACCTATCTGACCGGAAAATTTAGATAACATTAGAATGAGGTCTATTTTCGCTAGATATTTGAGAAACATCGACCAGATCTTTCCATTGATACAGAGACAAAAATTTGGGTCTGACCGGTCAGGCCAATAAATGGAAAGTGCCCCAGGAATATTATTGCGGGCCCGCGGGCCTCTGGCAGGAATCCAACCTGCGGGCCCGCGATTCCCGTGGAGGGCGAGAGGGCCTGAAGTAGCCTGTGTACTACTGCTGCGTAGGCTTGGCCTAAAGTTGCATTTTTTGCAACTGCTCCTCGTCAGGTCCAGGTGAACAGAAATTTACGTTTGAAAATTCCATTTACCAAAACCCCCATCCACTATTTATTTACATCTGAAGATTGCACTTCCTTTTTAACTAACCATTGGGTCTGACACAGTCCATTCGATCTCACTCCAGACTCAAGACAGAAGTAACTGCAATTGAAAATACTTATATTCATTGTTTTAGTTGGTGCTTCTCGGGCAGCAGTTGACGCTGGATTTGTTCCTAATGATATGCAGATTGGACAAACTGGAAAAGTCGTAGCTCCAGTAAGTATATATACGAACCAGTGAGCTCTCTATATATGTATATCTGGAGCACGAATTTCAGTTATTCGGCCTTTAAGAAAAGGGAGCGAAGATGTCGGCATTGACGTCCAATGTCTACAAAGGTTGTAAATACCATTTTTCCCAGTCTTCAATCCCTAACTTGTACGCCCGAGTTTATCAGTAGAAATACTGGTTTCATCTTTACTTTATCTGAGGTAAATTTCTATGGTATTAATTTCTATTGTATCTTAGGATTTGTATATTGCGGTTGGTATTTCTGGTGCTATTCAGCATTTGGCTGGCATGAAAGATAGCAAGGTATGGTATGGTATGGTATGGTATGGTATGGTATGGTATGGTATGGTATGGTATGGTATGGTATGGTATGGAATGGATACAGTGTGCGGATACGCGCAAGTAGCGAGTCAAACGAGTACTCGAAGCGCTCGCGAGCCTGCTGTATGTTACTTGAGGACGGGACTGTACGGTATATATCGAACCCTTTCCAATTAGCTACTATATTAATTACGATTTATTTATTATTTGTTGTTAAATGTTTTGCAAATTTTGCTCATATACTGTAGGTGATCGTAGCGATTAATAAGGACGCAGAGGCTCCTATCTTCCAAGGTAAAATCTTTGTTTTACATTATTTTGTATCAACCTTACTTTTCCTGGCAGTAAACTTGTCATTTCTTTCAAATATCAATTATAATATGCCCTCCCTCAGGAAGTGGGATGTGTGTTAATTAACCTTTACTTACAGCTGAGAGCTAAGCTGAATTACAAAGGACGCAGCTCAACCTGATCGAGTCGAAGGCTTTCTAAGGGCTCCTCTGACAGCCACCTTATGACTCATGTCTGATCACGGAGTACAGCTACGGTGGAAGGGTCAGTTAAGAGGATAATCCCAACCCACCCTGTCAACATTCCCTGCGGGAGGAAACCCACGACTATCGGTAGAGCGTTGACTGGCTCGTTTCACATGAGTCCGTAGCGATCATTCTTTATTTGACCAGCATTACTACAGGAGGAAATCGTACTCTGAGAAAATCTGCACTGTTTGGTAACCCTCCCCTACGATTGTGGCGAAGTTAATCAGACCAGTATCTATACCGTAATGATTTCTTTTTTATTTTTACATTTTATAGTGTCCGACTATGGACTTGTTGCCGATTTGTTTAAAGTAAGTTTGCGATAGCACTGTTTCATTCTGAATTTCAGACTGAAGTGTGTTGTACGTGGACGGGTAGCTTGTCTTCCCAAGCGGGATTAGAATTCACTCCTGTCAACATTCTGATCTGCCGATTCGCAGTTGTCGAGGAGAATGGGTCCGAGTTTTAAAGTACACATGAGGATTTGGGCCAATCTCGTTCCCCGAGCCTGCGATCCTCGGGAAGGAACGCGAGGCTCTGGGATAATCCGTTTCAGGAAGGAATCTGATTGGCCGTTGATATGGAATGCGCAGTTCAATCTTAGCCAGGATTCCTGGCTTCCGGCAACGGATTATCCCAGAGCCTCGCGTTCCTTCCTGAGGATCGCAGGCTCGGGGAACGAGATTGGATTTGGGCATACCTCATGTATAGCCAGGGTTTGTGGCTACAAAGTACGATTGTTTTCGCCAAACTTTATAACAATCGTGGATTTTCGCGTGGACAAAATACGTATAAAAACGTCAATGCAAACTAAGGTCTAACGTCTGAACTAAATAGCTATTTGCGTACTCAAACCCATTTTTTAATAACTTCTGAGTAATTCTATTCTCTCCACGCATTGTCTCATCTCAAAATTTCTCTTCTCTTATAGGCTGTTCCCGAATTAACCGAAAAATTATGAAAATAAATTAATCATAAACTTATAATAAGAAGCTACACGGGTGATATTTTAACAACGAACTACAATATAAAACACGGTCTAATATTTGATTGTAAATATAAAACCTCATATAATTTTATCTCAAGAGTTATGAGTTTACATCAATATACACGAGGCCATTTTGCTTGTATGCTTCCGTCTGTCTGTCGTTTTTGAGTAAAAAAAAATAATTAATATACTCGTGTTTGTCTTTGAGAAATTGCAGTCTTATTAATATTGTATGTCTACCGGCAGTTTTATATTTGACAGGCTATTAAATATTGTCTGAGTTTAAAAACAGCATACTGTTTAAGTGTAATTTGTCGAGTGACAATATAACCAAGGGCATGAATTAATATTTTATCTGCGTCGACATTTTAGCAGTGAAATAATGCCACTTTTCCGATCAATTTATCAACCTTCGACAGTGTTTTTGAACTCAATTTTCAAATTGTGCAAAAATGAAAAAAAAATACAAAATGAATAAAAAAGTGTATGAGATTAGAACAGCTGTATTGGCTAATACATGGCTAAACATATACGTGCTAGATTATGAGATCCTGAGATTTACGACATTCAGCCTGGTTTAAACTGGAGATTTTTCGTGAAACGCTGTCTAAGTCAGTCCCTCAAACATTTCTTACAAATCCTTTAAAACTTAGAATTTAGCTATGCAAAATTCCTACTGTGATCACAGAAACTTTGATAGTCTAAACCAGAATTAAAACAGCCTTTATTAATAATTGTCTAAATGTATTTGTGTATTGCTGTCTTCTACAAAATCCTATAATAAAGTTTGTATAGTTCATGGACTGAAGTAGCTATCACTGTCGTCGAAGCTCAGTTAATGCTTAAGCATATTTTTTTATGCGAATTATATTTAGTAGTATATCACGTACTTTCCATGCAATGTGGTGAACATATTTTCATTGATAATACTTAGAAAATACCCCCATAAATCCTTGTCTATATTTTCATTTTTGATTCTTAAACTTTCATATATTATTATATGCAACCGTCAAAAATATCAAGATTTACATACGTACATGAAGTTGTGGTTTATAGAGCTCGACAACTGGCCTCTGTAGCTCAGTTGGTTAGAGTGCTGCACCGGAATCGCAGGGCCGACGGTTCAATTCATACCAGAGAGCCTATATATATAGTTGCAGAGATATAGTTGCATTTTCATCCTGCTCGTGGTTGGGTCTATAATAAATTTATAAAGTTCACACTCGAGATTCCATTCACAAAACCTTTCTGCCAACCGTCAAAAAACCCATCGAAATTTAAATCTGATGTATCATATGTTGAGGTGCAAATATGGCTAAGGTGCTGATTACATGGTGCCGAGCTGGCCCGGTTAACCGGGCTGACTCGTTTGTTTAGGACCTTACTGTGGTTTTAAAACTCGCGTAAAATAAATTTGCGATAAATAATTGGTTTAGTATAGATGCAAAATCATCCTAAATCCGATTTAAAACTCATTTTGCGGCCCAAGGAAGATTTTCGTGACATTTTTCAGCCCGGTCCATGTAATCAGCCCCTAACTACAGAAAGGTGATTAATAGTGTATGAACTATAGCTAAGAATAGCATACAATTAGCTGAATGCGATTCCATGCAAGCACTGAATGGGGTCCGGGGTTATGTACGGCTAAATGTATAGCATTAGGCTAGTATATTTTGGATACACAATCAATGGGTATAGCTTTATCAGTCCAGTAAAAGGTTCACATTCTACTATATATAACACTACAGGAGGAAACGGGTACACCAGGAGAAAACCCGCGATGTTCGGCAAATTGGAAGCGCTGTCCTCGCATGCGCAACGCTAATCATGAACCGTTGTTAATCACGTCGCCGACGAAAACACCTTTCTAAATCATTATGACTTATTTCGCTCTTCGGGCCTATTTCAATATTAGTTTTAACACCTTCTGTAAACACAGAATGGCTAAGAAAATACATCCCATTTTTCCTTGATAAAAACAAAATAAAAAAAAACATTCATTACAATTCCGTTCAAAGACAAATCTCGAATCCCAAGAACGCACTCATTGATACATTATTCTTCAACTCGATTTCTTCCTAAGCCTGTTTGAGGACGTGTATTAGACCTTGATTTATTGCGGAAAAAATAAAAGCCTATGCAATGCAGCTGCTCAATTTGTTAAAGCCAATAATAGCATTCATTAAAATTTCTTTATGTAACCCTAACGGTTCATTTCGTTTCAAATAATCTGTATAATGGCTTAAGTTAACAACACTGCTTTGAGCGACGATATTGAATTGCATATTATTTTCATTTGTGACATTCCCTATACATTTTACACAAAATGGTTGTTTCAGTTGTTGTAAAATCGATCTTGGCCCGTTCTTTTCTGTTAGGTCACGCAGTCTTTGCGATTTTTCTCGTGGTCGGCATTAAAGAGGACAAAAGATTCTGGTGGCTGGGCGCCATATTGTTTCCACTCGTCCTAGAGTCTGTGTTTACCGTTGGATATCGAAAAAGCAAGGAATACAAATGGTAGGATACGTGGATTACATGAAAGTTCTGAACCCAGTTAAACAGGGCCGAAATTGTTTCAGGATTTATAAATGGCAAATTTCAGCCCGGGCCGAGTTTAAATTTCAGTTCAAATCGGGGTGAAATCTCAGCCCTGGATGAAACGATCACGTCTAAAAAATCCAAAATGGAGCTATTCCGTTTCTTCGAAGAATTTAAAATGTTGCTAATGTCAATTATCTGACTCAGGGACGACGGAACGATGTGAAGGCAAGGGGGGCAGATTTTCGTGAAAGGGCACTTTTGAATTGATATATACTAAGAGATGTTTGCAAAACATCGGGAGTTGAACTTCGCCTAATCATGTTTTCTATTTATTGGATGATAGGGGTGTGAGGGGGTTCTCCGCCAGGCGATTGTGCTATTCTTGAAGCTCGATGACTGCATTTCTTGCGTTTTCTGAAGCAAATTCGTAAAAGAATTGCACTAACATTTCTGACAATTATTTCGCCAAGGCAATCCTTTAAATTGAAAGGGCACCTTTGCCCCCCCCTCGCCCGTCCTGGTATATAAATGGCAATGGGGCGGCTGCCCCTGAATTCTGACTTCTGCGAGACTGTGGTTGCATGTAAAAATAGAAGAGACAGAAATAAAGCCACTTAAACGCCGTTGTTTCAACCCGGGCTGAAATTTCTGTCATCATGTGATCGCTTGCTCTGTTTCAATATAGGATTTTATCCCTAGACCGGACTGAATATCAGCCTGGGAAACCGGGATGAAACTCAGTCCGTGCCGAATCCTGCTAGCTCGAGACAACGGTTTTTCGTTGTTCTCAGTTTGCAGTGACAGAATAATATGGAACTAGTAGATTCTAGGAACCTCACACGCAAACAATTTGCCGGTTGCGTGAATGTAGATAGTGATTTTACAAGTCTTCTTAAATTGGCCGTTAGTATATATAAATTAAACTTTAGCATATAAATATTAGAGTTTCTTTGTATTAATTGCATTTATGGAATTTATCCACATTACTGTTTAACACTGTGTCACTGTCACAAAGTCAGTTTCCTCAGACATTTCTTACAAATCCTTCAAAAGTTAGTCTTAGAATTTACCTAGGCAAAATTCCTACTGTGATCACACTTTATTTTATGAAATGATATGCAACTGTTTTTCTTAGGATCTGCCCCAGTCTATTGCTGCATTTAATCACAGTGGTTCCGTGTACATACATCTTGGAATATTCATTGCTCAATAAGCGGATCGAGTCGAGAGAGAATGGGGTAAGTTTAAAATAAAATCGCATGGAATTTATGGAATTTAGTTTCGAAACTAAGTACAATAGTACAATGTCTAGAATAGCCAAAATACCAAAGGTGTGTATTGAAGAATAATACGTATACCCAACTTGACCCTCACATTTGAGATATTTGTACCACCCAGTAACCCTACAACTATCAGTTCAGCAAGTAAAGCCTATAAAGAAAGGCCTGTTTATACTTGCGATTTTTGCTGAGATTTTTAGTGCGAGTTTGTTCTTGTGGTCCATGTGAACGAGTAGATGGACAAGGAAGCCAAAATGGTTCCTAAATATTCAGGAACAAATTTGGTTTTCCAAGGTATGATTTTTGTTGCAAAGACAATGTTTCCTGGTTTGCTCACTTTCGCAAAACATGGCTAAAAAAACAGGGCTAGGGTTTTCCCACCTTCGGGAAACATGGCTAGGAAACAATCATTCCTGGTTTGTCTCACCTTCGGGAAACATGGCTAAGAAACAATGTTTCCTGGTTTGTCCACCTTTTGAAAACATGGCTAGGAAACAATGTTTCCTGGTTTGCCCACCTTTGAGAAACATGACTAGGAAATAATGCTTCCTAGTTTGTCCAGCTTCAGGAATCATGACTAGGAAACAATGTTTCCTGGTTTGTCCACCTTTTGAAAACATGGCTAGGAGCCTAAGAAACAATGTTTCCTGGTTTGCCCACCTTTTGAAAACATGGCTTGGAGCCTAGGAAACAATGTTTCCTGGTTTGCCCACCTTTTGAAAACATGGCTAGGAGCCTAGGAAACAATGTTTCCTGGTTTGCCCACCTTTTGAAAACATGGCTAGGAAACAATGTTTCCTGGTTTGCCAAGGACTTTTGAGAAACATGGCTAGGAAAATGAAAAAACGAAGATTTTTGCTAAAACGTTTCAGGAAGCCGCGTTGCCATCGGAAGAGATCTGGTACGAGAACATAACTGACGTCATGGAACAAACAATTCTATTGGTGATGATATTTGGCAGATGGTTAATGCCGAAGGGAAAACTAACCCGAGACGAACTATCCCAATTATTACTTATCAATATGGCATCCGCTGCCGATATAATCGAATTCTTCGATATAATCAATATCAATGCGGTCAGTTATGACAAAAAGATGATCACTTATGTGCTGGTGCTATGGTCTTGGAGCTTACTTCAATTTCCGCTCAACACCGCAGTCGCATTTGATAAGCTCATCTCCGGAGACGAACCGAAGCCAACCCGGAAACCGACGATCGCCCGACTATCGTCGCTGCCTTCCTATATCGTGAAACGAATGTCGTTAAACATTTACGAGCGGGAATTTGAAAAGGAGGAGAATGTGAAGCCAGCTTTTGGGGAATTTGCGAGTATTACTGTAGGGCTGTTGTTGCAGGATGCGCCATACTTGGTGATGAGATTGTTTATAATATCGTATTATAGAACATTCGGGTACATGATAGTTTTTTTGGCCGTAAAGAATGGTTTATTCTTTATACTCGAGGTGTACAGACTGTGCGTGTTGTTCTGTCATTGTAAGGATAGTCACGACCATGATCCTTCGCCAGACAGCAGAGTTCAAATCCAGGGACGATTTAGCAATATTCAGATTGCAATACCGCATGCATTGTTCAAGAATAAAATATCGCCGAGGACGGAGAAAGAGAAAAACCCAAGTACAACGAGCAGCCTTGAGACTACTTAGGTGTACAGGTATGGGTCCCCGAGCACGAACCCTTGGCTAGGACAGAGGTGAACACCATCAGGGGGAGGGGCACCCCCCGCCAGTAATTTCTAAAAGCCTTTAAAATTAAAGTGCCTATATCATGGTTTTGGAGTTTGAATATCTCGAACGTTTAGGGTATTTTAAGACACTTTGCAATATATTTTGTTATTGAAACATTTCATCTTGATGGGATTTATTAGCTCTTAAAGTTACCGGACATGACGTCAAAAGGAGAATTTGGTTGCAATGATACAAAGGAAAACTGATTTGCAATTCTCCTTTTGACGTCATGTCCGGTAACTTTAAGAGCTAATAAATCCATCAAGATGAAATAAATTGCAAAGTGTCTTAAAATACCCTAAACTTTCGGGATATGCAAACTCCAAAACCATGATATAGGCACTTTAAATGATAGCTGAATACAACTGTATTATTATTACGGAGGCAACCTAAAATCTTTTTGGCGTTCCTCTCAAAATTACTTTGTTTTGGATTTATTCTCTAGTTTATACAGTTAACTACCTTTTTAAATGCATTTGCCGGTTGAGAAACACAAAACAATAGTAAAATATTGTCAATTTAAATGCAATTATCATCGATGCTGTAAAATTGACGGCATATTTATGCAGCATTATAAGCAAAACTTATTGAACTTCAGACATCATTTTCTCTTTGGCGTAACAGATAAAGCTCTAAACATACAAAAATTCAAAAAAATTGAATATCTAGTCATAGGCAAGTGGAAAAGTATATTCATCGCTCATTAGTTTTAAGCGCGTGTCACGTAACATACAAAGGATTCTCCTCGCTGAAACAATAATTTTGCAACCATGAAAGCTGAAATGTGAGTTGGGCGATAATTCTTCGTATTATGGCTTTATATGCTCGCTATGACCATTATCGTGTTAACTATGGTTACCAATAAGGCATGTGAATGAATGATTCCAGCAAGACTAAATTTTGATCTAGGCAAGAAAAACAAAATCCATCAACACAGCTAGAAAGAGCGTGTTAAAATTAGTAAAATTGCAAAGTTTGGCCCCGAAATGTTGTAAAATGCGGAAAATATATAGCCCTGCGAAATTTTGTATTAATTTGTATCACTAATTTTAACATGCTCTTTCTAGCTGTGGCGATGGATTTTGTTCTTCTTGCCCAGATCAAAATTAAGTCTATAGATGGAACCATCCATTATCTGAAAAAGTGAATTGGTGGGATATATGTTCAGTCAAAAAATAATATATCTGTATTAAACTAATTTAATTCACCTCACCACTGACTGCATAATTAATTAAATACTGTATACATTACAATAAATATAATGGTTAGTTTTGACTTAATTGGTCAAAGCATCGATACATACATTTACAGTATGTAAGAAACAGCCTTTAAATATCTTATATACAAAAATAAACAATATCATAATAAATAAATACATATTCTCTGCCTAAGTGACTAATTTTTTAAACTAATTTTCACTTTACTTATATATTGATGATCGATTTATACCGATTAATTGTTGAACTTCCAATACAAAAAATAATAGAAAAATGTATTTATAAGCCGCCCATTTTATAAAATATCATTGATAAATTCGAAGTAACTCTACACAAAAACGTATGAATTAATTTGCAATTTTTCATTCGGTAAAGATTCGGTTATATCATCATGTGATCGATCCTATCGATTATAAAATATCATCGATAAATTCAAAGCAGCTCCGCGCGAAAATGTCATCAATTTTCCATTTTCTAAAGAAATAATTTGTGATCGATCTTATCGACTATGAAATATCACCGATAAATCCGAAGCAACTCCAGCCTAACATATCATCAGCATTATCGTACAAGGGTACCATATCTCCCACGTCGCGACTCCCGCGAATCTTCTACAAAATAATCAACTTCGTGACGCGATTTAAACTGTTTTAATGTCCTCAGCGAAAAACAGAGTGCCAAAATCTCCGGTACGGCATTAATATCCCGTGGGACTGTTATATCCCCGGAGATAGTGTCCACGTCGATGTACTCCTTGGAATTTTCGAGTTTGAATCTGTACGAGGTCTTGGAAGGCTGTTCAATTTCGATGCGTTTTTGGCTTTCCAAGTGATAGAGGTACAGCTTGACTCGCGAACTCAGTGTGACGTGGGCATAACATATGCCCCAGTCCTTTCGACCGCGTATTAATAACTTGGGGTCGTACTTATCTTTCGAGTAGGGAAAGCCACTAAGACGTTTCGCAATTTGCCCCTTAAAAGGCAGCTCAGCTTTGGACATCGAATGACTCGAGGATATAATCCGACCTGTTAAGTCTGAGACTTCTACAGCCACAAGTAAGGTGGTTACAGGCTCGGCAATTCTGCACCGAAAAACCTCACTACTGCTGTAGGAATTGATGCCATATAAAGTGACACCACAAGGACCTTCACTCATGAAGGATGGGGCGATCGAACCAGGGAATGCGACACCCGTCGCAATATCCGGGACCTCAATGGCGTTGTCATATTGGTTCACGTGGAGAGAGTAGTTCCCAGTCCTTTGCGGAGGCATGATCTGGAACGTCAGTGACACCTTGCCAGCGGAATCGCACAGCGGTGGGATAATTTTGAAGTCGCGCTTCGAGACCTTGGGCCGAGTGACGTCATTCTCCTTGAGGACGGCCTCTAAGGATTCTGGGAAGAATAGTAAAGGAACGCTGTTACATTTCGAGGTATCGGCTAGGGTTACCTTTGCCGTCAGCATCATTGGTGCGTCTGCATTCACAGCCGCTGAAATGAATGTCACAAGACCGTCGTCGCAGGCATCTGATGACGAACCTGTTACCGTGGTTACGGTTTGTTCGCGGCCACCGTTTTCGCTGATCGATAAACGGTATGTGTTGTCAGTTGGAAAATCGCTCACTTCGACTTTAACTAACTTGAGAGTATAGATCGGCGCAGCTAGGTTCTTCCACGCGTCTGCGCACAATGTATTCTGAGGTGGAGGTGGTTCTCGCCTCACTGCTGTACCTAATAACAATAAACGCAACATTGTTAGCATGTATAAAAAGAAATACAATTGATTTGTTGTATCGGGACAATGCAGTACAGTACAGCACAGCACAGTACAGTACAGTACAGTACAGTACAGTACAGTACAGTACAGTACAGTACAATACCATAATTTATTTGAAGTCGATAAACGTACATACGTAAAAATCTCACAACTTGTCAACAATATGTGTTGTCTGGCAACAGGCTTGTGGCAAGCTTGTCAGCAAGTTGTAACAATGCTGTTATTTTATCAAGTTGGTACAAAGTTGTCACTCACAACTTGTTGACAAGTTGCTGAATTGCAGGACGATAACAAGTTGTTGGAACTACTGATTTGATAATAGACAGTGGTTGGAACAACTTGTAACAAGTCTGTTGAGCTCAACAACCTTGTACTCTTGTAGCATGTTGTCAACAAGCTGGGAACAAGCAGTACGAACACATCCTGTTGACAAGTTGTTGGAACAGCATTGCTACAAGTCTGCTGCAGGTTTGTTACAACTTGTGCGTTTTTACGTGTGTAAACTGAACTGCAAACACACCTGCCAGTATGTAGCTATCTCCATACGTCATAGCCCAGCGTTCTTGCGTGATTGCGGCTGCGCAGATCGAGGGCGCGTCATCACGTGGTGTGTGGTCTTCATGATCGTGATCCAGCGTACCTCGGAACAGCTTCGCGCACTCGTTACGGTACGCCAGTGGATGTGCCAGGTGCGCATGCCAAATAAGATCAATGTCGCATGTAGGAATAAAGATCTCGTTCGATGTACTGGAGTGAAGACGGAGAAATCTCTTGTAACGCTTTACCGCGTTTCCAAGAAACTTACGATCGTAGTAATGCGGTAACGAAACTTGGTAGTTAAAATTTCTCTGAATTGCGGCTGCGCGGACCAGGTCACGTGACAGCTCCGAAGACTGCGCGGCCGAAATTTGGGAGATTGAGTCCGGGTTGACATCGAACGGTTCGTCGGGATAATGTCGTTTCCAGATCGTTCGCGATTTTTCTAGCGCCAACTTTTTTTGCCCCCCAGTGAAAATTTTATGATCGACGACTTTAGACACCAGTCTCTGGCAATCGCTATCATAAACGCGCGGTGAAAGCATATGTAGGTACCAAACCCACTCGACGTCCAAGGGGGCGGCTATTTGAGTCGTGTTTTCATTCGCGGCCATAGGTAGCCACAGATGTTCGTATCGTCTAATAGCATTTGCCAGAAGTTGACCGCGATAAGCGTAACCCAAGGCATCAACTTCCTTCAGAAAATCAAGGTGACTGATGGCTGCCTCGACGAGGTCGATGCTTGAAGGTGTTTTTCGCAATGTAAACATTGCTGTTTTCTAGTAAAGAAGTAAAATAAGAGTCGAAGTTCTTCCTTAAAGGACATTGGCAATACAAAAATTAGTTTGTCTCATTCAAAAGAACTCTGAAAATTATATATTAAACTTTATTACCGATACTATTATTATCTATTATCATATCACACTTAGTTCTCGAAATATTTAGACCGAAATTAATGAGCTGGCCGCCATCTTGGACTAATTCGTGACTTCATTAATAAGCAACCTATCATAAGTCTAATTAGTGCCGAGGTGTGATTATCAGGTAGTCATTTATTTAGAACTTATGATGATATATATAGGGGCTTTTTGTGCGGTGTTTAATTGTTGTAGTAGAATAAGAAATGGCAAACAAATTATTTTTCGCCCTGCTCGGTTTCCTTTGTTCTTATCGGGTAATATATTCAATATTCCCCTCTAGTAATCCCCTCTAATAATCACCTGCAATGTCTTTGCAGCACAAAGAATGAGAAATAACATAACGAAGGCAATATGGCATTAAGAATTATTTCTATTCTGACTCATTAACGCGCCTCGCAATGTGAAAAAATAAGTACGTTATTGAGACACCTCGGGGATATATTCCCTCGTTGCCTCAAAATAACCTATACATATTCCACAAAATAATTTGACAATGGAGGATTGACAGCGAGTAGAGTAGCCAATCAAATTACAGCATTTTCATGTCTGGAGTCCATTCGAAAGTGCGGTACGAATTACCTTATTCTTAAAGAATACTGAATATAAACGATCACGTCTTGAAAATAAAGTCGGAATATTGAAAACTGTCAAAGCGTCATCGTATGCTAATGTAATGTGATTATAAAGAAAAAGATGGATGTCTCATGATTCTGTGAATGCATCCAACAAAGAATTCAACGCAATAGATTGAAGAGTGATGCGATTATATAGAACTTGTTTCTATGATATAGAAGCATTCCTATTATCTCGTGACGTGAAGGCATATCTAGAACGTGCGATGATGTAGTAGACTACATTGTTTCCAAAAGTGTTTTTCGTCATGAAGCAAGTTAAATAGCGGCTACATTGCTCTACATACGTCACATACGTACTAATTATGTGTAGCCGAAAAGATGAAGAATGATAGCATTGTCTAGCCTTTAGAAAGTGAACAAAATTGAAACGGAATCGCAAAAATAGATTGCCGTACCCAAAAGTCTGTTAGTTTGTTCGGAATCATACAAGCATGGTATTTATTCAAAAATAGTAGTTCTTTGATTTTGTTGGTCGTCGGGCAAGCTGAAAAGTTTGCCTGATCACGGTGAGAATCGAGCTTCGATACAATGTATAATGTATTCGGCTAAGATATGATGATTTATCCCAAAGGTCGTGGGTTCTATTCCCACCGTGGTCAGGTATAGATCATAGATATCTTATATACACTAGATAGTGCATCTAATTATTCTCCAATTCAAAAATTGAAGCCGTGATTGCAGTCTCAGGTCGTTCCCATGAAATGAGAAGATTCGTATGTTTTCTATTTCTTAAACAGGGAACTTAAACATCAAGTTAACCCTATTCCAACTACGTTTTTAAACTATTCAAATGATGAAAGTTATTGTTGTTTTTAAGCGTTTATTAGCAAGTGGGAACGACCAACATGGCCGCCATCTATTCAAATGGGGGTAACCGCTGGAATATTCTTGGCTTCAATTTTACTAAAAGAGATGCGCTATCTAGTGTATATAAGATATCTATGGTATAGATGCACACTCAGAGCAACATCACAAACATATATAGTAGTTCTTTGCTCTTGTGTGTGCACCGTTGTACTATGTTTATCGAGTTTCTCGCTCACTGGTGTGAGGATTTCCAAACAGGCTATTGCCCAATTGATAGGGGATCCGAGGTGCCTACGATTATAACGTCCTTATCCGAGAAGACGCGAAAGTCTAACCATCTACTGATGTCAATGTAAAGATAGCTCTTTCTCCTCGACTATTTCAAGATTCTCCTCGACTATTCCAAGACCTTGACTAGAGGTTCGATCTCCCAGCTTGAAAGGCAAACCGTGTTGACCACGATACCACAAAAGCTGGTCATTTATCTAGACTCTTATACTAATAGATTCCTCAGAATAAATTCGTTCATAGACATGGTTATTAACCACTTATTGTCTAATAATTTCATGGGAATAAAGTCACGAAAGTATCACAAGACATAAGAGCATATTTTCAGTACAATGAAAGTCAAAACAACGGAACTCCCGTTGAGGAGTTTTTATGTTAAACTATCAAGGGGCCTCATCAAACGCACAATGGTTCCGCCAATCCGTCTTTGGATTAATCGATACTATTCTATACCACAGGGCCTTCGGTGGCCGCGATCATCAGGGCAAGCGGTTTTCATCTCGGAGATCATGGGTTTGATTCTCGCTAAGGACTCATGACACTTGTGTGAAAGAGTCAGTCAATGCTCTTCCAAAAATCGTGGGTTTCCGGGTGCTCCGGTTCCCTCCCACAGGGAATGTTGACAGGGTGGGTTGGGATTATCCCCCTAACTGACCCTTCCACCGTAGTTGTGCTCCTTGACCAGACACGAGTCGTAAGATGGATGCCAGAGCCGCCCTTAGAAAGCCTTTGACTCGATCAGATTGAGCTGTGTCCTTCAGCTCTCAACTGCAAGCAGTGTTGTAACCAGTCGAGTCATTACCCGTGTGTAAACTACGAGCCTAAGCCTGGCCAAGCTTTGGACTAGATTTTTGTAGCGTAATCGCACTTTGGGCCTGGCCTAGGTTAGGAAATGTGGAACACCTGTTCTGATGGCCCAGATTTCCTGACCTAGGCCAGGCCCAAAGTGCGTTTACACTACAAAAATCTAGTCCAAAGCTAGGCCTAGGCCAGGCTATTCACACGGACTCGAGTCGCAATTTTCTGCGACTCGACTCAAATACAAAAAATGACTCGACACGAGTCAACAGCCCCAAATGACTCGACGTCTTGATTTCAGCCTCAAATCAACTCAGCTACAACTTGTACAGGATAAATTCATGAAAAATATTGCAGTTGAATAGCGGGTTGGGAACAGTCCTGAAACGGCTTGAAGAAATAAAAAAGTAATTCTCCATGCAGATAGGCATGTTTCGACTTGTGGGGAAATTATTGTTTAATTAAGGCATTTTTGTTCTCCTTTTTGTTCACCATACAATGGATTCCAGCTATACTGAGTAAGAGTAAAATTGCAAAGATGATTCCAGCTGAAGGAATGAGTAAAATTGCGAAGTTTGGTTGCGAATTGTTGTAAAATGAGGAAAAGGGCTATATTTTCTTTATTTTTAAACATTTAACAAGCAATCTTTGCAGTTTTACTCATCCTAAGACGCTCTTTCTAGCTGTGGTGTTGGATTTCGTTATTCTTGCCCAGATCAAAACTTAGTCTATAGCTGGAGTCACCCATTCGTCTAGCCATTGACTCGACTCGAGTGTAGTCATTGACTCGACCAGATGGTGAAATGACTTGACTTTTGGCTGACTCGACCTGTTGGTGACAACATTGGGTTCAAGTAAGAATTATTAGCACAACCCAACATACTACCTATTCCATGCTTATAACAGCATGTTGTTTTGCCAAAATACACACAATGCGAACCCGAGGGGTGTCTTACTAGAAAAATCTTCCTATACCCTCCATACCAAATTCCAACTGAATTACCTAAGACCTTGGCCATTGCATTAAATCATTGCGCTTCGATCTGCAAATTTCAGATATCATCAATGTAGCAAACCGTTATCTGACGATTTCATCAACCAAACATATACTTGTCGCTAACTTTCTGCAAAATCGGTCTCAGTATTCAGAAAGAAATCAGTATCATTGGTCAGGTAAAAAAATCGAGTTTATTTGCTTGAAAGTTCAAAATTATAACTTAATTAAACTATGGACCAGGGTAAGAATTTTAAAAATTTAACCTAACAAATAGACAATTCCCATTATAAACTAATTTTAATCTAGGCAAGGAGATGCAAATAAATCACCACAGGTAGAAAGAGCACACTAAGATTAGTAAAATTGTAAAGTTTGGTTGCCAAATGTTGTAAAATGTGGAAAATATAGCCTTGCAAAGTTTGAAAATTTTGTATACTTTTGTATTGCGTGCGGAAATTACTGGTAATTTTGCTACCATTTTCGGACCAAATGTGGTAGCAATTTCCGCACGCAATACAAAATTAGGCTATATTTTCCGCATTTTACAACATTTCGCAGCCAAACTTTGCAATTTTACTAATTTTAGTATACGCTCTTTCCGGCAATATATTTTTTTGCCAAGATAGAAAATTAGTCTATAATGGGAATTGTCTATTGTAGGGGGTGATATTAACGAAGTATAGTGAATTAAAAGGTGTTATCTCCAACCCTCACGGGCGAGTGTTTTTCCCACAGTTTAAAATTTGTTTATTCAGTGTTGTCTTCACACATTTGATGACCCGCTTTTACCTTTCCTACCCCTGCAGGGCGGCATTTCCATGGGTTTTAATAATGAAATTTATCTTCTTCACATGCAGTTTCATACGAATAACAAAAATTCTGCCGCAAGGCGCGGCGGCCTTCTCCTCTATTCTATTTCAAAAATTACAAACTTCTAAGTACACAGTGTAAAATTGCTCTCTCAAATTTCTCAGAGAATTGCTCTCTCAAAGCTTGAAACCAATTCCAATACTCGCTTGCCCACATATTTCAACACATGTTAATTATATGTACAGGTTGTTCTGAGCTAGTATGCGCACTTTATGCGTGGATATTTCAGTTAACATTCGTTGAAATCCGATTTCTTTGTACCTGAATTTTATTGGTCGTATTACCGCCTCAAAAACAAGTGCCAAAGAATTATGCTTAAATGATTAGAGAATGAAATAGAAAACTAAATTAAATCTTACTAACTCTGCACGGGCTCGCCTCCTGCCGAGACGATGCGGAGACTTAAGTGTTTTGCAGAAATTTACAAGTTTAATTTGACAAATAGGCGTTAAGTCAGCCAGTCAACATGATTTTGTAAATATTTGTATGCCACTCTGCCGTTGGAAACCCCTATATACATTCACACAAACCTGGCATTTTTATAGGACGCCCATTTTACAGCTAAAACCTCAACAAAGAGTATTTTCCGCAATAGTAATGAGTAATTATACTTTCTATTTCAAGAATGAGTGCGTGCATGGCTCACGCAACCAACAAACATACAATTAAATTTTTGGTAAATTTTGGACAACTTTAACATATGCTTCATTTTCCGACATATACGGATATGGCAAAAACTTGCATAATTTAACGTATTAATTTATTTTAAACTCGATGGGATCGGCATGTATACTGAAAACTAAATATTGTTTTAATTCAATTTCGTAATTAAATTATTTTTTTCTATATGAAGTGTACCTGTCATGAAGAATTTAAAATTCCAACTGATATTTTAAGTCGATGTAATATTTATATTTAAATTTCGTAATTAAATTTTTTTTTCTATATGAAGTAGCTATACCTGTCATGAAAAATTTAAAATTCTAACTGATGTTTTAAGTTGATGTAATATTTGTATATCTTGCAGTACATAACGAGACGATAGCTACAATGTAAAAAGTATTACTGTCTATATAGATTCTATACTATAACTCTGGTCTCCATGCCATACAGTTTCATTGAAGAGTGCAGTGTTTTGGAACAGAAAAGTTTGCCCAGCCATACTATATAATCAGTCCTATATATAGTTCATATACTTGAATACTGACGTTTGACACTTAAAAGCATCATTTAAATGCTTCCATAAGTTCACAATGTAATTTCAATAGAGTCAAAACGACCCTATAAAAAGTCAAAACGACCTCAAAAGAGTCGTTCTGGGATCAAATGGACTCTTTTGTGAATTTACAGTGCACCATATGCTCTATAATATGCATGCTTGCATGTTAAAATTCACGATTTGAAGGTCGAATGGTTTTGACATATATCAATTTAGTACAAAACATATATTGCCAATACTGTCTGGGTAAAATATACTATCAAAGTTTCTGTGACCACAGCAGGGATTTTGCCGCAAAGGTAAATTCTAAGTTTTGAAGGATTTGTAAGAAATGTTTAAGGGAAGTGACTCGGTATTAAACAACGAATCAGTTCCATCAAACATTTCTTACAAATCCTTCAAAACTTAGAATTTACCCATGTGAAATTCCAACAAATTCGCTCTATGGATTCCATCTGATGGCAACAGCAATTGAGCAAGAAGAAAAGCTAGTTACATCGAACACGTTTCTACAAAACACTCGTGGGATATAGATAAAGTGCAGAGGGGGCTAAAAGCGACAATCTGTGTGAGAATTCATCTCCGGAGAATGTTCGCAGACAACCATGATTAGGCGATTATCTTTACAAAGCCGAAGGAATGAACGAATTAAGGAAGAAGAATTACTATATGTTGGAGAGATTTGAAAGAATGATGGCGTACTGTGCGTGTCGACAATTTCTGTTCATGCCGAATACAACCGTATAAAACACTGAATATCCACAGTCGTAGAATAATATTGTTCTTGGTTGAATTCCTATTCCATGACTCAACTGAGCTTCAATTGCCTGTGGCTAAGTCTATGGGGCCGAAATTATACTCTATACAGAATACACTAAGATTCCTTTATACTGATTCGAAGAACTGTAGATCCCGATACCAAAGTTGTCGAAATTACGACTCTTTCTTAACGAATTCTTGTGATAAAATATAGATATAGCCTGGACATTAAACTCCATTGCTAATAGCTCGCACAATTTGGGGCATTTCTAAAACGATGATCCCGTTATATTAAACGATAGATATTAGATATTGTTGTACAGATATACTAGAATATATTTCAAATTAACCGAAGTTAGTATCCTTTAGATTTCAATGTACATAAAATTCACGACAAACGTACCGTCTATATTTATCAATAAGTTAATAAAATATACAACTAACTTCAATGAACTAGTATTAGTACCTTATCTTCTTTGCTGATGTGGTTCTTTACAAACGTGTTCTTCAGAGACGTCAAAATGGCGGCAAAAATATACGATGCACGACAGCGGCTTGGTTTGAGCAGCAAGACCTTTTTGAGAGAGCACAGTTGTTTAAAGCTATCTTGAGCAATTGTTTACGAATTTAACCTGCAAAGTACTGCGTGGGTTGCCGCTAGACTATTCTACATAATTTATTTGCATAAATTATTATATAAAGGCGATCTTTTCATATCGCATTCCATCATACAAAATATGGCGAAGATTCGGATATTGAACTTTAAGTTGTCGGAAATAGATTTGTAGTGGCCGGTGTTATAAGCGCGATTGAGCGTCAAGGAATCACCAGTCAAGTCGTTCATACAGGCTACATTGCCATTGGCTGCATGGGAAATTTGAAGCATTGGTACTTTCGGTGTGCAATCAGATTTCAGAACATAAAGAAGCAAATATGTGAGCTATGTTTCATTATAGTAATACAGTGACTTTAGAAATGTCTGGAAAAGCATTGAGGCATTGTAAAAAAACATTGTTACGAGGCTGGCCTTGATTTGGTCAATTGGGGACCGTTTTATAAGCAGTGACACCTTTTGAGTTTTGTAGATTTTAATTGCCTTTGGTTTAAGGACTCTTAATTCATAGATTGCATTGTGCGCTACGCCCAACACCATAGAAAATTATGGCATACAATTCTACACACCTTGAAATGCCAAACTCCTCCCTTACAGTGGCAGTACAATATGGTTATGCCGTAGCTCTGCACTGAGGATTTACCGGTTCGTTGGTAGACGCGTACCGTCATTGGCCGTAGGAATATTAGCGCAAATGAGATCGATTGCGTGGTGGTAGAATATTTAATGCATTTGTCATATAACCTCTTGCTAAATGGACCATTCCCCAATTGACCAAAATTTTGAACTCAACGAGTCTAGACAAAAATTTCATCACAGCTTGAAAGAGCATCACAAAATTAGTAATATTTCAAAGTTTCGTTGCAAAATGTTGTAAAATGCGGATAATATAGCCTTGCGAAGTTTGCAATTTTCAGTCATTTTATTTTAGATTACAAACGGGAAATGGTTACCACTTCTGTGCGTAATACAAAATGACTGAAAATTACAAACTTCGCAAGGCTATATTCATCCGCATTTTACAACATTTTGCAACGAAAGTTTGGAATATTACTAATTTTGTGATGCTCTTTCAAGCTGCGATGAAATTTTTGTTTAGGCTAGTTAAGATCAAAATTTTGGAAAAGTGGTAACCATTTCCCCCGGGCCTCCCTGCATGCAGTTCGAAAAGCAAGCTTGGACCCAGAGAATGCGTCCTATAGTATAGGTTGCGACATAAATTGTATTATAAAATGTGTCCTGAAAAAATGCAATATAGTCGTGTTTCAGATTTTTATACACACATGGTTATTAGCATCGAAAATTATTGTTGTTGAACTTTGGTTAGGCACAGAAGCTTGCATGTCATCAGAAGATGCTCTATAAAGCTGTGCGCCGGTGTACTGGAGCCGGAGCTCCGACAAAATTTGCCGGAGTTGGAAAACTCCGGCAAAAACTCCGGCAGACAAAATTCTGAAAAATTATTTCATATTTCAATGAACTTTTGGTAATGGAAAAATTAAGTTGAATGATTTGAAGTTACCATAAAGTTTAATTACTTGCTCCAATCCGATTCGTGGCTACGAAAATTCTGCAAGCGCATTGCTATCGCTTTTGATACAAAAATCCGCGGACCCCGATCTATGTTGGGCGAAAATACCACGCTGCCATGCGGATTTACTTTCTACAAAACATTCATTTGTTTAAACAAGCGCCGAAGCACGTGATATTTGATAAGTAAAGGAGAAAGCTCAAAAAGGAATAAAATAAATTCTGAAATTACACCGAAATATTTTCGCCTGCTTCAACTTTTAAATATGAAATTTTCCAAAAATTTCCTTGCCGGAGCTAAAATAACCGGAGTTTGCAGAGCTCTAATGCTCTTTGATTATTTACAATAAAATTTACATAACAAATTACTACCTACAATTTGTTTTTGAAAATTTTTACTGATTATGATTTCCTTATTTCTATTGGTATATTAAATTCCATACCAGGTCCATACCATGCACTGCTCCATTGAACTCTAGGCTGTTTTTTGTGTGCTTGCCGGCTTAGGAATGGCAAAACTGTAGTCATGACCTCGTGTATTACAACTATAAGTATGTCAGCTCGATTAAACAGTCTCGAAAGATATGTTTGACATGTATATAACTACGTTCATTGGAAACACTATTTGCCTCCTTACAAATCAGAAAATGATCAAGATAGTGACTCTGATTCATTGATTGATTTACACATTGTATTGACATATGAATGTTGACATTGCTTTTTAGTCTTCAATATCTGAGTGAGTCCATGCTTTGGGAATGACAATACATTCTTATTACCCAACCCTTGAGTTGTTCATGTTTTTCATTTACCCAACCTTTTACTCACTCAAAATTTACCCAACCCTTTTCTCTTCGCAAGCTACCCCCTTCCACAAATAATGACCCCGATCCCTTAGGTTTTAATTCAAATTTTCAACTTACAAATCTTCATACTAAAAAAATTCCTGTGGCTTTTTAAAAGTACGTAAAAATAAACTAAATGAAGATAATCGTGACGTCAACAGTAATTTTCATAGCGTGTAAACGTACCTTAAAAATTCGCGTGCTCGGCTATATTCTTCCAACTGCAGTCAGAGCCACACTCACAGATTAAACAAAACAGAAGCAATTACCTAAAGGAATTTGCAACGATTGACTTAATTTCATGACAGCCATCTACGTCAAAGCAAAAATATATTTAAATTTCTATAGCAACAAAAGTGGCGTGAGCAATTTGTTGCGTTTAATCCCCGTTGGAAACAAAGACACATTTCAATTTAATTCCCACGCGTCGTGACCAATGCGTCATCTCCGAGGGCACAGGCGAATTACCCGTCGCCTAATTAGAAACGCCTGCATATTTGACGTGCTTTTTATTGTTATTGATAATTATTGACACTCCCCTAAAGGGCTTTTCAGTGACAAAAATATATATACATATCAATTAATTACTATCAGCTTATGCTTTAATTTCTGTCGCAATACTTATGTTAAAAACGAGGTTTGGAATAATTCAAGCTTTCTCTCCAAATGAATCTTTTTTGCTCTTTTTGAATCCAAGAGACAATTTTTTTCTATGTCGTGCATTTGCGATGAGAAGTGTTCAAAACCAAAAATAGTTTTGGCGTTCCTCTCAAAATTACTTTGTTTTATAGCTTTATTTTGTAGTTTAAACAGTTAGCTACCTTTTTAAATGCATTTGTCGGTTGAGAAACATATTAATAGTAAAAATATAGTCGCCATATTTACAGCAATATAAGGAAAATTTACTGAACTTCAGACATCATTTTCTCTTTGACGGACCATCTAAAATCTCTTCATTTTAGCATTATTTTACAGATAAAGCACTAAACATACTTTTTAATAAGTTTGTTTGCCGATTGAGAAACGTAACGAGATATAAAAAATTGAATATTGCCATAAACATGCACAACCTTTTCTGAGGGAGCTGACATAGTGTTTAACATTGAGCCCATTCCCTCAAACATTTCTTACAAATGCAAATTCCTATCCTGTGATCACAGAAACTTTTATACCAGCAGCCTTAAGTATATGTTGAACTATATATATTTTTCAAACCCGTTGGCGAGACACATGACAAAAAGCACAGCAGTCAAAATAAACGATTCTTTATTACGATAGATTTCGTCATTTAAGTACCTTGAAATTTCCTGCTAATCTGTTTAAGTACACGTACTTAATACAATATATAAAGATCACTTGGAAAACTTTAATTTTATTGGCGAACGTAAAGGGTAGTAATTTAGTACTTATATAGCATTTAAATTTACGTGTGTGTATATATTTTGTTTAACATCCCATAGTATTTTTAGCAACTTTATACAATTTGATTTTTGTAAGATGTCTTTGATGGTTTTAGCATCCTCAATTTTCCAGCCTCAGCGCAATTTTCGGAAATAAAGTATTATTGTATCCCTTCAATTCACGGTTCGCAAAGCCGATAAATAAATCATTGTAACACTTAGGGCAGCATCATTAGCGAATTAAGAATTTTCGCTTTTACAAAATTTCTTTGATGGCTTTTAGCATCAAAACTGAGTTTCCTTTTTCCTATTTTTCAACGAGGATTTGGAAAATTTTAAATCCTCTTATAAATTATACTGCTTATACTGTTCTTAAAGCCGAGTCCAATATAATATAAGGGACTTTTATACCGGTAGTTGTAAAATGAATTACAGTAAAATGTTGACGTTGTTCACGAGAAGAAAATTTGAAAGGGCAACCAAAAACGAGTTTCGCGGGTTCATATTGATCGCTGGCTATATCAAGGTAAAGAACTTCTGTGACCAATATGCATATCCTCAATAATCCAAGATGGCGGGACAGCTCATTGCTTTCAGTCAAAATATCTCGGGAACCAAGCATATGAAAAATCTGTACCAAGCTTTTACTGTAAAGACAAATTTAAAGTTCTTTCAAATGAGACAATAGATGAGACAAATGCGAGAAAAACATCCACTCCTTTTCAAAAATTGAGCAATGAAAACATCGCTCAAATCTTGGAATATTTCGTGAATAAATTCAAGTTGATAAATTAAACATGGCGAAGAAACAAGGACTCTTATTACTTTTAAAGCTATTTTAACACCAGTATACGTTTCTCATTACCGACATCTTCCAATGTTATAAGGAAGTGGTCATTATTTATGGTGGGTAAACAAAATGTTGAGTTAGTAAATGGTTGCATGGGTATAAATGAAAAACAAAACAACTCAAATGTTGGGTAATTAAAATTTTTTGTATTTCGAAAGCATGACTCACTCGAATATTGAAGACTAAGAAGCAATGTTAACAGTCATATGTCAATAGAATATGTAAATCAATCAGAGTCACTATCTTGATCATTTTCGATTTGTCAGGAGGCAAATGGTGTCTCCAAAGAAAGTACTTGTGCAGACAACATGAAACTTTAGACCGCAGAAAATTGCACAAGCAGTTGTTAAACTCGTGTCACAGAAGTGGTAAAGTACAACTGAATGGTATCCTTTTGTAAAGTTTTTGGCCAGGGGTGGGTATTTTTTAATTGATATTTGAGGTTGGGTAAAATTTTGACTTTTTAATGGTTGCATCAGCAATTTTTTTACCAAGAAAAGCATTTCTCTTCGGTCTTCGGTGCTCCCCGCCATAAACAATGATCGCTTCCCAATGTTGTGTCGATATTAGCCTTGCATTAAACAACGTCGCTCAGAGGCCGGGTGACTTACGTGTGCGCGCCATGATTTCGTATTTGACCAACAAAGACAATAACGGAAGCTTGAAAGGCCAAAACTATCTTTTAATTCTACGTTTCTATGCACTTCCAATTATATCTACAATATAATACTTTTTGTTTATGGAAACACCACGTAAATTTATTACTGCAAAGCTTTCGACAACCGATCGTATTGTATTAGCACTTTTTTAGCACTGATGAAGATCCGGGCTTACCGATCGAAAGCTTTGCAGTAATAATACATTTACGTGGTGTTTCCACAAACAAAAAGTATTATATGTTCTATCGCCATGCAAACCTATATCTACAATATTGAACAAAACTGTTGAGACGTGAAATACTGCGAAGGTTTGCGCACAATCTCTAAACGACTTTTGGCAAATTACCATGTCACGCAAAGTGGAATACTGTAACAAATTGTAACGTTAAGACTGTCAAAGCCGCGAATTTCATTCGTCGGTGTACGATAGTGGTCGGTGAAATCCACCAGTAGAGAAAGCTGGTCTCAACCAGTGCCGTCCAAGCTAGAGGTGGAAAAACCCTGGGAACCTGGGTTTAAACTGAGCTCAAAATTTTCCACAAGAGATTGCAATAAATAGGGGAAAATAACAAAATTGTCGTTTGTGATTGTCTTGCGGTGTTGTCGTGTGAATCAATGTGTGTTTAAGCCTGATAAGGCATGCAAGATAAATCCTGAAGTAATCATAGTAATGACAGTCTTACATGATTAAAAACAAATTTCCTACCGCAGGCTATATATGAATAGTTTTGATGAAACTGCTGTTCCACTGTAGTTTAGGTATCGAGTCAGTAGATTAATTTGATATTCAATCATTTCAATAATCAGGTATTTAGTATTTTAGATATTCAATCAGTTAATTTTCAGAATTAGTTATTGAACTTAAAAAGTCTGAAAATTTCTGCAAAAATGTTCATCCTACAAATTTTTTTTTAGAAAGTTCCGATACTTTTTCCACCTCTGCCAAGACTGCAGAAAAATAAGCATTATTCTATTTATTTCTCACAGAAATTGTCTGTCATACAAAAACACTTTCGTTATCATTAATATGTTCTTCCCTATCGCTACCTTCTTGCCTATCACTGCGTCCATCTTCGACATCATTGATTTGAATGTTGGAAAAACGGTCACGAGCCGCCATAAGTCCACTTCCGCCATTTGCAACACCATCTTTATGGTGTCTCTTTTTATGTCCCTTCTTGTGTCCCTCCTTACCCCCCTCCTTGTGTCCCTTCTTATCCGCCTCTTTATGCTCCTCTTTATCCTTCTGTGATCTCCTGTGTCCCTGACTACTCTTTCTACCCCCCGTTACCCCTAGGTACTCCAGAAGGTACTCGATCTCAAGCTTCGCGTCCAAGAAAGACCGGTCATCTTGTGAGCTTGAAATACAATTCTCGAAAACATCTCGAACGTTGTCTTGGAAAAATTTCAGAAAGCTGTTGGAAGGCGCCCACGAACAGTTGCGTCCGGTAGCCAATAAAATACTCGACACAAACGGATCTCGGTTGAGCCACATCGATTTCTTGCCACTGGAACTGGTGGAGAATATCCCGTCCCGTTTCGTCGCCCGCGATGCTCTGATTTCCTTGCTCAGCGGACATGGTTGAATAGACTTCATGTCAGCAGAACGAAACGGATCGACCGGGTAAAACTCGCGTGTTCGCTCGCGGCATAAGGCATAAAGGACGCCAATGGCATAGGCTAGGGCTATGATCTCCGGTAGGAAGGTGGCGATATCCGTATAAGGTACGGTCACTTCCCCGGTACCAAGGTTGACAAACACTGACCGCGCATCGTCAAAGATGTTAATTTCAAAGACGCCGAATTCTGCTTGGGCGGTATTTGATCGGTTCACAGTCTGCCACTTGTTGGTCTGCAAGTTATAAAAATTAATCACCAATTCACCAGATTCGCTGTTTCCAACCCAACGACCGACAACAACGCCCCAATCTTTCTGACTGCGGATGAGCATGGCTCGTTCACGTGCCTCAGGCGTGTAAGCGCACGTGCTACCCCTGAGATCGCCCAGTTGGCTCTTCGTTGGAATCTGCTTGCCCGCTATTGTATGGGCGGTCGCGACCAGGTAGCCTTTCGGGTGTACGATTTCGATCGCCGAGAGGATTGGGGCAAGGGAATGAACAACCTTGACGTCATACTTTTTCATATTCTTGCCTTGGGAAATATTCATCACGAGACTCGAACAGGCCAACGAGAGCGAAGTAAGATTCAACCAACACGGCGACAGCGCAAGGTCACGTGACATTAAAGATGTTGCAATTAACACCGTGCTCAGAAATTCCTCTTTGAGCAACTTAACACGCAAAGTGAGTTGCTCTAGGTTTTGAGTTAGCAATATCTGTTCTCGAGTGCAAATGATATTCTCCCCACGGTACATAGCCCCGGGTATAGACTTCGGAGCATGGGTGTTCTTTTCCCGTACCGGCGAACCATTCCAGGGTACAATACCCGCCCCGACCTCGGTGTCGTAGTGGCCCAACATCTCCCCGAAGACTTGCCGAGTATCATCTCGGTACAAGGTCGGGTGCACGAGATGCGCATGCCAGATTAGTTGAACGTCGAAGCATCCGTTCAGAATCAAATTCGGGTCCTGGAGTTTCGCGCGGAGGAAATCCTTGTAGCGTTTCGTCCCTTTCTCCAGGAATTTCAAATCCCGGTAGTGGTTTAACGCAACTTGGTAGTTGAAAAATCTTTGCCTGAATATGGCCGCGAATAGATCGTATGAGAATTTCGAGGTGAAAGTATCCGTGATTTCAGGAGGGGCTGTAAGATCGAGACTGAATTCCTCTTTCGGGTACGCTTTCTCCCATATACCCCGTGCGTTGTTGAGACCGATGTTCCGATCCTTGGCCGAGGTGATCCGGTGGTCCAACACTTGCCCGAAGCGATGAAGGCAATCCCGGTTGTACGCGTACGGTGATAGCATATGGACATACCACACCCATTCAATGTCCAGGGGTGCGGCTAGGGGGTAGCGTGGGTCAATTTTTGCTACAAGAGGTAGCCAATATACCTCGTAGCGGCGGACGGCGTTGTGGACGTGCAAGCCTTCGTAAAGCCATGGGTAGTTGTCGATCAGTTTGAGGAACTCCCAGAGGTGGACTGCCGTCTCGGTAAGTTCGACACTGATAGGAATGCCTGATCTTCGCACTGCCATCTCTAAATGGGAAAAATACGTGTGAGTTAACTAATAACCTTATACTTAAACTAAACTTTCTATTTTTTTAGTTAAAACTTTATTTAACGACGCTATCCCCATCAGCAAAAGCTGGTTTCCATGGGGGGGGGGGGGGGGGGAGTCCGGGCCATACATATGTGAAAAACAATCATTGACAATTATACAAACATATAACCACAACAACAACAAATGAATAATTTTAGACCATTTATAAAAGCATAAATCCATGGAGCCTGTCCTAACATCGGCCCGAAGTACGTACATTCCATCTGCGCTGTATTTGAACTTTTTTTTGAGAAATTCTCTTTTAGGCATTGGAAGTGACAAGATTTATAATATTATTTCTCAGAGTATATGCTGTTTGCATATCACTTCTCGAAATAAACGTTTGTTTCAGATTGGGAGCAATTGTAACAATGACTTTTATCAAAGACTTTAATCGCAGAAACATTGATAGTATAAGTGAGCCGTTAAAGTTCAGAAAATATCTCTATTTTCGGCAAATTGTCCGTTCGACAGAATGTCTTTTCGGCGAAAAGTCCGTTCGTCAAAATGTCCGTTCGTCAAAATGTCCGTCGCCCGTCGGCAAAATGTCCGTTCGCCAAAGTGTCTTTCGGCAAAATGTTGTGCTGGTGACGTCTTATCCATTCAGGGGTCTCTAAGAGAGTTTCTAATTATTTGAACAAGTCAAATCAACATGGATGAGGAACTCCACACAGTTTACACAGACTGTTTAAATATTTGTCTACACTTCAGACAATCGTCTGTGCCACTGTGCACTTAGCAACCGAAGTTATGAGAGCGTGGAAATCTTACAAAGCTCACCGCGATAAGAGCTATATAGCCTGTAGCTATGCCTGCAGTTAAACCCTGGTTTAGACTATCAAAGTTTCTGTGACAATGTAGGAATTTTGTGTTGGTAAATTCTAAGTTTTGAAGGATTTGTAAAAAATATTTTAAGGCCTGGTTCAGTGTTAAACACTAAATCAGTTCCCTTAAACGTTTCTTACAAATCCTTCAAAACTTAGAATTTACCTTTGCAAAATTCCTACTGTGATCACAGAAACTTTGATACCAGGCTTAACCATCATATCCTAAATTTACACTTTGAAAAATGATGCATGTAGCTATCTATTGGTATTTAGTATGATCCTGGGTATCTCTGTAGACTAAAACCATGCGCAATAAAGGTCGTCCATATTTATCAACATGTTCACAAGCGTATACAGAGAGTATAATCTTACTTCTACCCCGTCCAAAAACTAACCCACTCCAAGAACTATGGATGACCCTTTATGATCATATATTACTTGAGCCTCTATAGAATACTTTTGAAGTGATACATCTTTCCAGTATAAATAAAGTTAGTTCAGTTTAGGTTTCCTCATGTAGCAACATTGGATCAATAAGAGATGATCTTTATACTGGCCTTCTATGGAGAACAGTTTTGAAGTGATAGAGCAATCCAGTATAAATAAAGTTAGTTTAGTTTAGGTTTCCTCCTGTAGTAACACTGGATCAATTAGAGATGATTCTTACTGGACCTCTAGGAAGAACAGTCTAGAACTGATAGAGCTATCCAGTATAAATAAAGTTAGTCTAGTTTAGGTTTCCTCCTGTAGTAACACTGGATCAATAGGAGATGATCCTTACTGGACCTCTAGAAAGAACAGTTTAGAACTGATAAAGCTATCCAGTATAAATAGAGCTAGTTTATAGTTTAAATTTCCTCATGTAGTAACATTGGATCAATAGGAAATGATCTTTACTGGCATTCTATGGAGAACAGTTTTGAATTGATAGAGCTATCCAGTATAAATAAAGTTAGTTTATTCTTTGGTTCTGGGAGAACCAGATGCCGAAAAGTACACGACTTTTTTGATGCGGTGTGGAAGTTAATGATGCAATGTACTTTTATTAGACAGGATGTTATATTAAAAGCTTCAGATTGCAATACGACATACAAGGAGAACTTGTTCGTTTCGAGCGAAGGCCCATCGTCGGAAAGTTATAGTGACGAGCAAAGTGGCACAGGACCCGTGCAGGATGTTATACTGCAACTCCCTAACAACCATCTTCCTTGGAAACACATCCGGGGCAACAAGAAAATAGCGTTACCTTATGTCCTTCACTACAATGTATTCAGATTTATGCCCGCGATAATGGTTTAAAAATTTCTGTGATCATATTAGGAATTTTGCATAGGTAAGTTTTGAAGGATTTGTAAGAACTCTTTGAGGGAACAGACTGATTTTAGTTAACAGTTAGTTCCATCATCCTTCAAAGCATAGAATTTCCCTACGCTAAATTCGTACTTAGATCACAGAAACTTTGATGGAATAAACCAGCCTATAGTTTGACAAATCTTTCATGTGATAGTCAGGTTCATTTACTCGCTAGAGCAACCCGAACGATTCCTTGAATGACAAGTATGAAGCATCCTTGACCTCGTTTAAAAGGCAGACTTTCAACAATGAAAGAAAGCGTCAAGTGTATGCAACGGTATACTCTTATACAGCTGCACGTCATCAAAGCTTTAAACTCTACTGACAATGCCAATGGACAATGGCCGCAATGCCAATGGCCTTTCGCTCGAAACGCAGAAATTCTCTGGGAGTTGTCAAGGCCGACTATAGGTTCTGCAATAATTTCCTATATAGTGAATAAGATACTTATCTCCCGGAGCTATAGAAAATATCAATATTTATGTGACGAAAGGTCGTGTCTTGTAAACCATCTTATACTACCGGAATTGTTTTTCTAAGATATTTAGCATAGTTTGCAGAGAAAATACGTGTCAGTTAGGAAGTGAAGATTAATGGTAGATCATTCGGTAATCATCGCGCCCTGTTCAAAGGCCATTAATGCTGGTCATTAAAACATTCTTAGATGCATGATTGTTGGCTCCAACCAACTGAGCTACAGAGGCCAGTTGTCGAGCCTTAACCGTAAGTTCATGTACATGTACAAACCTACAATTAATTATATCGACTTTAGACGCCCAAAATCCTGATGGGGCTTTAAAGTGCATTTTTTTCTGAAGGTAATTCGCTTTGTCGGGTCAATACACATATGCCAAGGCAGTAAGGTGGCATTTTCTTCAACGTGGTTGTACTATACAACAGCAGGTCGTTTCTTTCAGCGCAGCAGGACATCATGCAAGGAAATAGGTTGTTTCGATCACAAGATAAAATGTTGTAGGACTCACAACATACGTGCATGATCTTTGTTCGTACGAGGTACATCCAATGACCTTCAAAGCTTACAGAAATACTCTGACTAATGCCCTGGTTTACACTATATCAAGTTTCTGTGATCATATTAGGAATTTTGCATCAGTAAATTCGAAGTTTTGAAGGATTTGTAAGAAATGTCTGAGGAATTGAAGGAACTAAGTGTTTTTAAAATACTCAAGTTCCCTCAATCATTTCTTACAAATCCTTCAGACTTAGAATTTATTCATGCCATGCAAAATTCCTACTGTGATCACAGAAACTTTGATACACAACCGTTTCTACTTTTGATTCGCTGGCTTCTGCTTTTCAATGTCTAAACTATCGCCATGGTAGTTTGTGTCTGACTTACCTTAAAATGACCTCGTTCAAAACTTTGTAATCTATTCAGTCAGGTAGTTCAGACACAAACCACGGCAGCTTATTGTAGAATGCGACCTTAATCTTCGTGGACTCCTATACGTTTGAGATATTTTGAATGTCTAGGCTGACAAGGATCGCCCACAAAGATCGAATGTTGTTTTGAAGGCATAGCTACAGCCTACACCTATGCTGGAATTTCCACAGTTTTAAAATACGTTTATAGAGAGCATATATTTTGAATTTCTATCGCAAATAAGTGTCGCTAATTGACGCGTTAAGAAACGTGTATTTAAGAAAGCAACCGTGAATTATTAAATGGCTTATGAAGTCGAACTCCATATCTATTCCGCATTCGTTAATCACAAATTGCAGTATAGCAACAAACATGTCATAAAATCGATATACCACAACGTTGGCATTTCTGTAAGATTCAAAATGGCTATGAACGATAGTTTATAGGTCATACATCCTCGGGTTTAACTGCTGGATTAATATAGATAAGCGAGTTCACTCGAAACTATAGACTTGAATGTTGTATATTACAGCCTACGTACAGGTACAACGTCAGAGACATATGTCAATAACTATACAACTATAAGCCATCATTTCTACACGTCGAAGTATATTTGAACACCGTAGATAAATAAAACGTTTATAAACTATCTAATAAACTTCATAGCGTACCGTTAGCATTGGCAACATCTTCTAAGTCATAACTTTCATCCATCGTAAAATATTTAGTGTAGTACAGCGTTTAAAACATCAAGGAAGCCGTCACAAGTTTTAAATGTTTATATCGCTTCACATCACGTATGGCATAGAATCAAATTACACTTACCGATTGTCAGGCCATTTCTCGGGTGTCTCTGTGTTGAAAACCGTCCAATAACAATTATTTTAGCAGCTCAAAAAAAAAACAAGCCACAACTTGTACTTTCAATGTTGTTCCTTCACACGGACTAAATGAAATCGCATGCTGGGTTTTGTATACCGCAATTATTCATGCATACGAGACACTTTCGTAACAATTGCAAGGAATTTGAATTTCAATTATATGCACATAGCATTGCATCTAATCAACCAATAAGAATGATTTGTAGCCATTTTGTCTCAAAACGGTACTTTAAAATATAAAGAACACTATTATTTGTGGTCAGTAATTAAAACGTTTTTGTATTACCCACAGGCGACCTTTCTAACAAGACACAAAAATGTTTAAAATTTTTCTTTAAAAATTTTATCTCTGGATCGAGTTAATTTGAGTAAAAAATTAGATTAGAATTTGATTTAAAAGTCTTCTGTTTAATTATTACCAAATTTCATGAGAATTTGCCTCCGAACTATCAACACGCTCGAGTGATGAAGCAAATTTTCATTGTTTTTGGTTAATCTCCGTTAATTCCATTGTTAACACATTAAATTATCGAGAAATGAAATTGCGAAAGACCCAGGAATAACATGAAAATTGTTGAAAATAATTATATATCAGTATTTGAAGGCAAAACTAGAATAACTATGGCTAGCAAGTAAGTACTTCGTTTATACAAATGTATTATAATTCATTTCTTGTACATATTCGCGAATACAGCTTTTAAGCGATGCATACTATACCTTAGTCTGCTTAGAGTGCGCAGAATGGTACAAGGGTGGATCTAGTCTTATCTACAAGGAGGGGTGCAGGTTTTCCATGGGGTGGTGCACGAGGAAGCCTTACTGTTCACTCTCCTCTGCAGTCTGCAACGCTACTATCCCAACATTACCATTATTTGAGATGTCCGAATCTGCTTGTTCGCCGTTCTGTTACGTTTTACATTCTCTTTTGTTTATAAAGTTTATATTGGCTTTTTATCACGTACGCGTGACTGGACAGTTGCTGTAGCAGCATTTGAAAATATGGCTGTATATAAACAACCTCGACTTGTTTACATATTTAACCATGATATTTAACTAAAGCATTCTGAGTATTTTCTCGTGAGCTCACAAATCAATGGACCATTTGCATTATAGACTAAATTTTGATCTAGACAAAAATTTCATCACAGCTTGAAAGAGCATCACAAAATTAGTAATATTCCAAAGTTTCGTTGCGAAATATTGTAAAATGCGGATAATACAGCCTTGCGAAATTTGCAATTTTCAGTCATTTTGTATTACAAACGGGAAATTGATGCCCCAACACCCGATTGGGCTGTCAATTTCCCGTGCGTAATATACAAAATGACTGAAAAACGGCAAACTTCGCAAGGCTATATTATCCGCATTTTACAACATTTCGCAACGAAACTTTGGAATATTACTAATTTTGTGATGCTCTTTGAAGCTGTGATGAAATTTTTGTCTAGATCAAAATTTAGTCCATAATGCAAATGATCCATTGAATCGTTTCAAGAAATCAACACGCACCAATGCAATAGCAAAAGTTGTGCTAATCGCTATTCGAAAAGCATATATAAAACGTATGATCAAGCAGAACAGTTTCGTTCCAATCGTGTCTGTGTAGAGCAACTACGAACATTTTTGGCTTGCCCATTTTAGTGACTCGCGTGGCACACGTGCCGTTCGTATTTTTTTATTTACTGGCACGTGTAAAAAATGCCCATTTCAGCCGCGTGTGCGGCGCGCTCTCTTCATCGCCTGTGAGCTACAAGAAAAACAAAAATAAGCCTCTGCGAAGTAGTGTGGTTTTCGCGTTCATAGTTTATAATCAGAGAATTATCGGACGAATCATCTTCGTCTAGACGGACTAATATTCTCTAGTATACGAGACCATTGGCTGGGTAGGACTTACTATGTAATATTTCCTCTATTTCTAACTATAAAATCCACTTATCTACACTGTTGTCGTTCATTCCTGGATGTCATTTCCAAATATTTGCGCCAGTCCAAAATCTCGAAGAGAGAAAGCCACAACTTCATATTTTGTGCTTCTCGCTTCGTGACTCTCACAATCCAATTGTATCGTCACCGTCACATTTTTCTGAAATAGAAAACTTTCGGTCAGAACGAAACACTGAAATTAATTAATATATGTATGTACAGCATGTTTGTGTAACAGAATATACTTGTAGATTTGTAAATCGCGTGTGTATTTGCGCCGATTACCCAGACACAATTTGTATAATTCACCGATTATTGAATTCGGTTGAGTATGATGCGAAAAATTATCAAGCCGAACTTTGTAAAGGCTGGGGTTGATAACACAAAATAGAATTGATGTTTGTGGTGTTACTCTGAGTGTGCATCCACACCAGGCAAGCTGAACGGTGGGAATCAAACCCACGACCTTTGGGATACTAGTCCAATGCTCTGCCAACAACTGAGCTACGAGGTCAGGTCGGTTTGAGTTGGTGATATTTTTTTATTAGTTGAAGATACTTTGTGTGTGTGTTGGTGTTATGTATTCAGGTGAATATGTTTGTGGTGTTACTCAGAGTGTGCAAAGGTCGCGTGTTCGATTCCCACCGTGGTCAGGCAAACTTTTCAGCTTGCCCGGTGTGGATGCACACTCAGAGTAACATCACAAAACATCATATTCACCTGAGTACATTACACCAACACACACAAAAAGTAACCAATTGAGGCCTTGATATTCTTCATATCATGCGAAAACCGAATTCAAGAATTGTTTTTTATTAGTATTTATATAAAAGATGAAACAACGACCGTTCTAGGAAGCCATTTGTATTGTGACACAATTCCTCACTTGTTCGGCAGTCATCATGCATTGGCGTGATGTCATAGCATTTAATATTATTCATATTAACCATATGACGTCACTCCGTTGAATATGTTAAAATTCCATATTTGGTCAGCTATTGAGTTGATATGCTGTTAGCCAATCAGACATGATGAATTCTTTAACTAGTAATGCTGTATATTGAATTATTGTCTTTTTATTATGTAATGTTAAAGTGTGAGTAACCCCCAAATATAATTTTGGTATGTGTAATATTTGGGTCATTCTAAAATGAAATGTTATATATCTTTATAGTAAAAAACCTCATCTTGATCAACTTTTTCGCTGTCAAAGTTCCAGATATGATGTAAAACTAATTTGCAATTCACCTAATGACATCATATCCGGAAACTATGAGAGTGAAAAAGTTGATCAAGATGGGATTTTTTATTATAAAGATATATGACATTTCATCTTCGAATGACCCAAATATTACACATACGAAAAATCATATTTGTGGTCAGTCACACTTTAACAAATGTGACAAAGTTTATGAAATAACATAAAAGTTGCTGAAAACGAGCGCGCATTTACCAAATATTCGCTTGCCTTATATTTTGTAGGCATACAGCTTAAAGTGTTAAGCTAACACGAGGATTCGCTGGCACACTCCAACAAACTTATCACACTTACATGTAATCTCTGAAGATGGAACATTCCTCTTGACCTTTCACACCTCGGAAGACGAGCGGTCGCTGTGGTAGACCTATCTGGCATGCTTCGAGCTCGGGCCTGTGACAAGAAATAATCTTTTCATTAATGTTTCATTTCATCTAAAACTATTCAATCACGGTATAGCCTACCAATTAAATTCATTTTCATAGAGAGACTGTACCGTAATAGTAAATATCTTTATAAAATAACATGTATATAACGCGTATTCTGATTGGTCGAAAGCCGTGTTTGGATGAGGCCATCCAAACACGGAAGACTACCGTGTTGTTGTTATTTTATAAAACAATTACTTTATGGTTTCCGTGTTTGGATGGACTGATCCAAACACTTGGGAATGTTGCTCGAGTTAAGAAAAGCGGGCAAAATCACTCGCTTTCGGCTCGTGATTTCGCTCGCTTTTCTTAACTCTCGCAACATTCCCGCGTGTTTGGATCAGGCCATCCAAACACGGAAACCATAAAGTAATTGTATAACAACATCAGATTAACATCAGATTAACCCTTTAAGTGCTACCAATTAGCTGTTCGAATTAGCTGTTCAAAGGGTATTCCTCAAAATCTATTCCGCGAAGGTTTACCGTTTTGTTTCTTTTGATGTTGAATAAATTTTTACTTTGCTTTTAAAAAGAACGATCGACAGGCTATACTTCATGTATTTTCAACTTATTTTTTAATAAAAAAGTGTTTAAATTTGTTAAGATATATAAATATTTTGAAGGGACTGATCGTTATTTATGGCGGGGAGGGGGTGGCACCGAAGAGAAAAGGGTTGGGTGAACAAATTTTGAGTGAGTAAAAGGTTGGGTAAATGAAAACAACTCAAAGGTTGGGTAGTAAAAATTTATTGTCATTTCCAAAGCATGACTCACTCAAATATTGAAGACTAAAAAGCAATGTCAACAGTCATATGTCAATACAATATGTAAATCAATCAGAGTCACTATCTTGAGCATTTTCCGATTTGTCAGGATGTAAATGGTGTTTCCAAAGAAAGTACATGTGCAGACAACATGAAACTTTAGACTGCAGAGAATTGCTCAAGTAGTTATCAAACGTCACAGAAGTGGTAAAGGACATGTGTGACAACTGAATTGTATCCTTTTGTAAAGGTTTTGGCCAGGGGTGGGTATTTATTTTTAATTGATATTTGAGGTTGGGTAAAATTTTTTGTGACTTTTTAATGGTTGGATCAGCAAAAATTTTTTTTACCAAGAAAAACATTTCTCTTCGGTGCCA